GGTTTGTGCCCTTGCTCGCCTCACCCTGCAGTGGCCTTCTGGAAGTTCACTACTTTTGCTTTTTAAGATGGGCGGTGTCGTTCCTCCCTTACAGAAGCTTGGAGGTGCTGGGGGGTGGGGCGCTGCAGGTGGCGGGGAGCGGGGTCAGTCCTGCAGGGTCAGTCGTGGCCTGGCCAGTGGCCTGGCTTTGAGCAGGTGTTTCTTTTTTTTTTTTTTTTTTTTAATGTTTTTTTTATTTCTGAGAGAGAGAGAGAGAGAGAGAGAGAGAGAGAGACAGCGTGAGCAGGGGAGGGTCAGAGAGAGAGGGAGACACAGAATCTGAAACAGGCTCCAGGCTCTGAGCTGGCAGTCAGCACAGAGCCCGACGCGGGGCTCGAACCCACGAACTGCGAGATCATGACCTGAACCGAAGTTGGTCGCTTAACCGACTGAGCCACCCAGGCGCCCCTGAGCAGGTGTTTCTGACAGCGGCGAGGGGTGGCTGGGCAGGGAGAACGCGGCGCACAAAGGGAGCAGAGGTGGAGCCACGGAGCGTAAGGGATTGGAGGCGAGCCGGGGGCTGGGCCAGAGGGAGTGTGCGTGATGCTCTGCAGGTAATGGGGGACGCTGTGGGTGGGTGTGGGGACTGGACTGCAGAACTGAGGCCGGAGTTGGAGCTTACAGGAAGAACAAAGGAGCACAAAGGGGCACAAAGAAGGTTGCCAAGCCTTTACATTGTGTTTACTTAACTTTTGAAAACCCGCCTTCATCTCCATTCTGTGATCACCCTAACCCCCAGCTCATGGTCACCATCACCTCTGGCCTAGAAGACTGTGGCAGCCTCTTCGTTGGGCTTCCCATCTCCAATCCACCCCCGCTCCCCACAGTCCATTCCGTAAGAAAACAGACAAGGCACTTTCAAAACATTGCCATGGGGACCACACTCCTGTGGCTAAGGCCCTTCAATGTACCACACTGGCTTCAGCATCAAGATCAAGTTTGATTACTTGAGTTGGCATTCATGGCCCTTAGCAATCAGCCCCACTCCCACTATGTGGAGCAGCCTCTCCCTAAAACACACACCAGCTGAGCTGGGCTCTTTGTGACCTCGGTCACTCCCTCTTGGTCTTCCCCCTTCCCCTGTCCCGGTCTACCACAGAAACGCCTCCTTAACCTTTAAGTAGCAGGTCAATGCCATCAGGTCTGGGTCACCTTTCCAGCCCTTGCCCTCAATGCCCTGCTCTTGGTGGCTCTTCATCTCATTTCAGCAGCCACTGGGCACCTGATTTGTGGCAGGTGCTAGGGATGGTGAAATGTCTTGAACTGGTGACAGCACCCAGGTCAAGGGCAGGCAGAGTACTGAAGCTGGGAGAGCTCCTGAGTCCTTCCACCAGCTGCCACCCCTGCCCTTTCACCCACTCCCTGCACCTGCCTCCTCACCTCCTCCCACCTGTGCTAGTGACTCACGTGCACACATTCAAACCTGTCCTGGGGACTGGGCCAGTGCCAGGCCAGGTGTGGGAGAGATAGCAACAATCTAAATGGCTGTCATTGCTCTCCAGCTCTCAGAGGGAAACACACCAAATCTCCTTAACATAGCCTTTGATGGATCAAAACAAAGAACCTGAGAATTAGGTGGACCTTCAGGAAGACACACACACACACACACACACACACTTTTTTAAAGCTCTACACCCAACTCTACCCTGAGATCAAGAATTGCATACTCTACGGACTGAGGCAGCCGGGCGCCCCCAGGAGGTTATTCTCAAAACAAATACATAAGTAAGACACCATGCTCCAGGCAAGATACTGGGGCAAAGATGAATCCTCTCAAGGAATCACATAGCGCAGACGGAGAAGCAGGCTATGAGAGCAGCCTCTGTTTACTGAGGGTCCTGGGCTGGAACAACTCCCATATGAGCACGTTTCACCTCACTACAACTCAGTGGTGTAGGCATCATTAGCATCCATTTACAGAGGAAGAAACGAATTCAGGGAGCAAGTACTTTGCTCCAAGTCACAGTCGGGACGAACTCCCTGGCACCAACAGCTGCTTGCTGTCAAGCGTGAACAATGCTGGGGGAGATCTCGGGCATCCTGTAGTAATGGAAGCCAGCCAGTGGCGGGAGGACAGTGGCAGCTACAACAAAGGAAGAAAGGAGGCCACGCCTCAGGGCCATAGGATGGCAGAGGGGACAGCAAGGAAGAGCCATGGGAGCACAGGGCAAGGTGGAGGGTGGGTCTGGCCACGAAGATAGGTGGTGGTGGGCTTGAGTACTCATTTCTGGAGCTCCCTAGGAGGCACCCAGATAATGCTAGCTGAACTCATGGGGCAGAAAGGCAGAAAAGGTTGGTGCAAAGGAGAAAGGAAAAGTTGGGGTGTGCACCGGATAGGAATCTGGCTTGCAGGCTGCAGGCAACACAGGAAGCAAGTTGGGCTCTTTCCACAAGAGGGCGCCCAGCACCAGACAGTGACTCTCTTGGGCAACGGGAGAGGGGTTGGTGGGTGGTTTGTTGTGGGTTCCCTGCAACCCTCTTGGTAGGGAGGACAGCGAGGAGAGGGTAACAACTCAGGACCCTAAAAACCTAGCAGTAAGAAACCAGCAATGACGGGCAAGAAGAGTTCAGATCGATGCATTTGCTCATAGTGAGGTTGTATCATCATCTCAGGCCAATTCTTTCCCTTTTCATACTGAGAAACACAAGTCAGGAGGCTCCTTGACTCCATGCTTGGTAAAATTTGAAAGGGCTCTCCGCTTGACACGTTCCAGAAGGAACAACTCTCTCCTATTTTCCATCTCCTTGTCTATGCTTCACTCGCTTTCAGATTCATCTACTATGCTGTCTGGTCGTGCAGAGTATTACTCGGAAGAGTGGTCCAGAATTTGGTTTTCAAATCTGCCTGGTTATTTAGTCTCTTTTTGCTACTTTTTTCCAGCACCATCTTTGGAGATTTCATAGTTACAGTCTGTATCTGATACTACTATCTGAAATCCCTGGGGTCTAAATCAATTGTTTACTCTTCTTGCTGATTTTGCTCATAATGGTTCATTCCCTTGGATGTTTAGTAATTTTTTGGGACACTTTATACTTGGTTGCCATATTATGATTTATATTTTTGATATTTTGATTTTTCTCTAGTGGATTTGCATTTTTGCTACAGTCAGACACCAGGAGATATCTGCAAGCCTAGAATCACCTTAATTCCTCAGCCCAGGAGTGCTTTGGCCCCAGGAGTATGAAAATCTGAACCACAGCCCCAGGAGAGAGCAGACCTGAGTCTTTGGTTAGATTCTCATCCTTCAGACAGGCGGAGTGTTCTGTATAGTTCCCTTTGCAGACAGATTTTTTTTCCTTGCTTGCCTTTTTCACTGAGGTTAAAGCCAGAGTAACCTGGGTCTGTGGACTGGCCTCAGATCTCCTCCTCCATCTTGTAGAGGCTCAAAGCCCCTCAGAGCCTCACACTGCCTGCCCCCCCACCCATGAGGCAGTTAATCCCTCACTCCAATTTCTCCTGACCCCAGGCAGTACAGGTTTCCTCTTTTGTGTTCAACTACTCCTGTGGTTTTGGTTTGCTGTACTCCTCTAATTTTCTCCTGGCCTTTGGGGATTCCCTAGACTTCCTCATCTGTGACCTCAGCAATACAGTTAAAAGTACATTCATTAGAATTTATCCAGCATCTGGATTTTTTAGGATAATGGCAAATTTTTTAGTCGATTTCTATAGCCAATAGTTATTTTACTTTACTATCACTGGAGTCCCTAGGATCTTTTGTTCAGAGCTAAAGCAGACTGGATTGCTGACTTGTCCACCAAATGTACTTTTGTGCAAGGCTGACAGTCACAAGGCTGAGATCTTGTTATTGTTCTAATGCTGGATTGCAGTGCTGGGCAGCTGCCCAGAGACTGGCAGTTGGCACCATCTGCATGAAAGATCATACGGCAAAGCCGCCTCCTTGTCTTCTGGGGCCATGGCCACAACCCAGCCCTTTCTACCTACCCCAAGATCATTCCCTTTGCTTTTATGGAGGCCTGTGAAGCTGGTGGCGCCCACAAGTCTCCTAGGGCAAGACCACATAGAAGTAGGTCTAGGGCAGAGGTCAGGGATGGGTATTTGGGTCACAGGAGTGGGGATGGGACCAGGAGCCTGGGAAGTGAGGCCTTGGGTCATCAGCCGGGAAGCTGGATCAACATCCAGGTGTGCACGGGTGTGCCTGCACCAATCTGGGTCATATCACAGCTGGTTAGACCACCTCAGAGCCATGCAAAGTACTACACACGGCCTGCTGGAGGTACCACAAGCTGGTGGGCTTTCGGGGAAAGCAGTCTGAACCTATTCCCTGAGGATACAAGAAATGGTCAGTTTAAGAACTCCCACTTCGGAAACCTATCCCAAAGAAACAAAGCATGCAGAGAAAGATGCTCACTTCAGTATGTTGGACAGGGAAACCTTGAAAGCAATCCAATTACTTGACAGGAGGGGAAAGAGTCCAAAAAAGTACAGCCCCAATGTGAGCATACAACCACTAAGTAAGTGAACATGAAGGAAATAGTGAACTCACGTGATTTAACATCCGTGTACAAAGAACAGGAATGAATATTCACAAGTCCAGGTATGTGAAAAATTTCTAAGGACATATGTAAGAGTGGTTAGAAAAAAGTACCTATATGGCCACTACCCTATTTCTCACTTTCTGTATTGAAAGCTCACTCCCCAGTGAGGAACCGGGAGTGTCTGTAAGCTGTCGCTGTCCCTGTCCACCGGCCCAGAGCGGGCCACCAGTCTGGCTGGGCCCGGGACCCTCCGCTGGCTGCCCAGAGGCGTCGTGGCTGGGCTGGACGCAGCTCCTCAGCAGTACACCCGGCTTCCACTCCCCTGGGTGTTCTTTAGGCCACTGCGGGAACCACTAGAGCCCCCCCCCAAAACAGGGGGGTGTATGTGGAAGCCTACAGGCAGATGGAGGTCTTCCGGTGGATATACCACCTTCCCTCCCAGCCCCCTTCTAGCCCGAGTCAGAAAAGGAATATAGCCTTTTTATTGACTACTTTAAGTAAAACAAACTAAATACATATTTAACAGTTTTGGTTCATTTATACAGTACATTAAATAAGTTATGCACAGAGTTAAGTAACAAAAATTGCTATCAGAGTAAAATGACAAAGCACAGAAAAACCAGACTACCGCATCCTGTGGGTGGTTTCACATTCATCATCCCCCTTTAAAATCCACGCTTGGAGGCATAGTTTTTTATTTACATTATTGGCTTTCTTTTATGGATGGAGCTTTTGTAGCCTCATTGGGAACTTGGAAAGCCGTGAAAGTAGACCAAAGGCCGCTGAGCCAAATAGCACTTTCAATCATTCACCTAATGCTTATTGCTGCTTCTCTCTGCCAACTCCAATGCAGGGACAGGGCTGTCTCCGCCAGCCACCAGCCGCACATGCCCTATTTGGTATAAGCATCAACGAGTGTACACTAGGCAGTTGTGGGCCTGACCAGATGGGGTCTGCCGGGGAAGTGCCATTTCTGCGGCTGCGGAGCGAAGGGGGATGCAAGGTCCACCCTCAGGCCTCCCAACCTTCTCCTGGCTCACGATGGAAAAGGTCACCTGCACCATCATCTTTGGAAATGAGCATGTCAATGCATATGGGCAAAGAGGCAGGCAGTCAATGTTTTGGTTTCATAAGAAATAGACACTCAGGGATGACTCGCCCAGCCCCCCCGCTTCCCATCCCAGACAAGACTCCTCCGGGACACCTGGCCCTCTGGCCCATGCTGGAACAGTCCAGGTCCCTGTGGCTTTTCTTACATTTGGTTCAAACATGCCACCACCCAGTTCTCTGTAAATAGCTTAAAAAACAAAAAACAAAACAAAAAAACAAAACTAAGTTGGCTTGGTCTACTGACCTGGTTCTGACACCAGTTCTGAAGAAAGCTTCGAAGATGTATTCTAAGTGATTTATTCAATCCACAACCCCTTCTACAGTTTCCAGGACAAATGGCTACCTGGTCATTATGCTTTCGTTCTGAAGAACTCACTACCACACAATTCCAATAGTCTTGCTGAACCTTCAATTCCACTTGCTGAGACAGCTTCTGAAATATCCAGAATAAGGTCTACACCCTTACAAGCAGGTGACAGCCCTGGGGATCAATCTGACTTTGGAACAAGGCCATAGAGAGTAAAGTGTAAATTTTCTGTCTAGAAGCTGAAGATGTTCATGTTGACACCAAGAAGCGAGGAGTTCCTGGGGGACTAGCAGGCCCAGATGGGCAAAGGATGTCCACACTGCAGCCAACATGACACCGATCTGTGCCGGGTAGATGTGTGTGGTTTCCAGACTTCGATCCGCTGAGACATGTATGACTCAGCACAGTCCAAGATCCACTCGCTCTGTGACTGAGCACATCTGCTAGAGGCCCACCCCTGCAGCTGCCAGGGACCTTCCAAAGTGGAAGTCCCATTCCCACTCACAACTCACAAGGTGGGCTGCCTATTCCTGAGCACCTGGAATGGACCAACTTCTTCTCGAGTCCATTTTCACCACTGGGCGGAGTCAGGCATGGTGCAGGTGGTGGGGACCCAAAGGGCGACTGAGGGTGTGAAGATTCAGCCCTCGGCCATCCCTCAGGACATTTAAAGATGGCTCCCAGTTTGGCCACTCTGGCCTCCTCTGGTCCCTGCAACCATTTCTCGCAAGCGGAGGACAACGAAGTCCCATCACTCCTCAGTGTCCCTCAGTGGGCGATGCTGAGCACTGGCCTCATCCTCCAGATGTGCTCTGACGGGTGGGCAGGCACATGTCACACTCGCTTTGTGACTGTGCTGAAAACACCTCCACTCCCATCCCCTCTGTCTTTTCTGTCCCCCCAAATATTAACTATAAAGACTGATTCTCTAACAGCCTGACTGTATATTTTAAGTCTAAGTAGATGGAAGTGGGCAGCCTGAACTTGTACTCCAAGTCTGGTGGCTGGGATGGTGAGCAGACACTGGAGACCAAGCGGGGAAGCTGGACTCAGTCACCCCTGCTCCTTCAACCCCCTCCCCGCGCCACCCCAAGGCAGTGCCCCTCCTCCTCTCACCCAGACAGCAGGAGAATTTCAGAGGAGGGAGCTAAAGAAAGGGATTCTTTACGCCTAAATGGGAAGTCTTGGACACATGCCCTACCGACCTAGATGTGAAAGTGACCAAAATGAACACAGCAAAAGGTCTGAGAACTGAACTACGGTGTGGACCACTACCCAGCGTGGCCTCTGGGCAGCACGTGAGGAAAGCAGTCTAGATCAGCATCAGTCACTCTGCCAACTTCACTGTCAGTAGAACCACAGCCCACACCAGTCAGCTAGGACCCGCACGCTGAAACCTGGAGCCTGAAAGCTGAAACCTTAGCTACAGAAAATGACAGTGGGTCCTGCTTTTGGCTCTTTATTCGAAACAGGAAAAACCTGGGCTACCCTGGCTAGTCCTGTGGCCAACTGAAGACTTAAAGAACCCGTCCAGGTGTTCATCTCGCCAATAAAAAGACAGTGGCCTGCGGACAGACCCAATAGGTACCATGAGATACCCTCTTGCTCTGATTTATAGGCTTCATGACCTACTCATGGGACACCCCATGTCTCACATAAATGTAGGCTAGTCCTGCCCAGGGTACTAATTTCCTTCCTGTTGAAGTCAGGATGCTCCACCAACTGCTGCAGTTTAAGGAGTTCCAGTTTAATGAGTTCATTATTCTGTTATTCATTCTCTGGGCATACTTTATACACTGGAAATCCAGGTATTTAAAGGTGCCTGGCACTGAGTTCCTTTGTAAGATAGAAAATCTTTAGGTAAATTAGGGACTTGAAAAGTTCTCACAGTAAGATACACCTGTATGTGAGGACAACGCTACTACGCTGATCCCTTTTCCTTGACAAGACAGAGCTTTTATTTCCCTCTGGTCAGCGCACGGAAGGTAGCCATCTAAAACTGGGCTTTCATGGGCCAGCAGGGGCAGGGCCAACCACCTCACCCCAACTGATTCCTTGGGGCAAGAGGGCACTGGAGGCTTGGAGGTGGAGAGTGAGAGGGTCAGGGTACTTGGGCTCCCAACAAAACACAAATGGCAGGGAAGAATATGTGTGGCAGTTCCTAATATTCTAAAAGGGGTATAGGCGATGTCACATTTGGAAAGCCAGGTAAGAATCTGGAAAACTCCCTGATGATGGGAAGAGAAATTGGTGGGCCGCTCTCAAAATGGTTGTGACATTTCACAGAACTTTTCTTAGCTCAGAGAGGGAAGGTATCAAATAGATACCATAAGGGAAACCGAGATTGTATGCCTGATAATAAACTGACGTCACATGTACTATGGACGAGGTTTGAAGAATTCTTTCAGGTCCAGGAAGGCTGCTGAGATGTGAGCAGGCCTCGACTGCTGAGGCAGGTCCTAGCCACAACACATCACATCCTATAGGACAACCATAGCTCAACAGGGGCCAAAGAGAGACCACGACAAGATCCACACAGTGATCTGGACATGCGCGGCCTGAGATGAAAGGGACACAGAACAAGACGACTGTGCAAACAGCCAAGCGGTGACAAAAGGTTCTGCATTTCCAAAAGATAATCCATTCAATGGTTTGACAATACTAGTTTGGCCAACATGCTCAGAGAGAACAGACTATCAACAGTTGAGTCTCATTCTCCCTCAGACCAATCCATGCGCTGGAAACTATTTCTGCATAAGCAAAATCAAGTAAGAGAGAAAAAAATGGGTCCCAAACTAAAGTAGCAAGCCAGGTTGGAAAATCTTGTCCAAAATGATCTGTGATGCTTGGAGGAAGTTTATTTGTTTTTCATCATTACGGGTGCTTTTAGTGAAATGGTGACTTATTTCCTGTGATTTCTGATACTCCTAACAAGTCTGAACAGCAGGGTCGAGGAGAGGGTCCTGAGTGCTGCTTCCGCCTACCCATGTCCGGGTGGGGCTCACCAGTGGCATCTGCTGAAGGTGAAAACGGGGTTATAGGAGCTGTTCCAGGGCAAGAGGGGTCACCCCTGTCGGAGGGGATCTCCTCTGCAGCCTGCTGTCAGCCTCCAGGCTTCTGCCGCAGGAGGAGGGCAGGGTAGGCGGCAGTGCGTGGGGCGAGCCCCCTCCAGCCCGGCTGGGCACCTGACAGTCTGCTGCCTCGAGAGGCAGGGAGGGGAGCTGGTGGTCCATACGGAGAAGGGGATGGCCACACCAGTTTCAGCGGGAACAGGAACAAACCTGGAAGCCAAGGAAGAAGGAGCGGCTCTGGCTAGCTGCCTATGTGCCCAGAGAATGGCGCACCAGCCCCCCCCGCCCCCCACCCCGAGGACACATGGGAAGTAGACAGGTGTCCGGAGGGGCTGCGGGGCAGCGTTGGCTGGGCTTGTGCTCTTCCTGCCTCAGCTGCACTCCGTGCTGATGACCCAACAGCTAATTGCACTGGTTCAAACCGCCAGGCCCCCTGTGCCATGGGTTGCTGCGCTGTGAGGTCATCAGAGGGAAGGGAGTCTGGGGCTCAGAGTCCGTTGGTGTCGATGGCTGTCACAGAGGCAGGCGTTGAGGAGCGTGAAGTGGTGGCCGAGGTCTTATCCAGAGCCGGGCTCGGCACGCTGCAGTCGGTGGACCTGGCTGAGGAGCCCCTCCCTCCAGGAAGCAGTGGCCGGCTCTGGCTGTGGGGACTCTGGCCGTGCAGGTTCTGGCCACAGAGGCGGTGGTGCCGCTCCCAGTCCTTGTGCTGGCAGAAAGAGCCGCAGTATCGTGCAATGTTGCAGCCGCTGCAGGTCTCGCTGGCCTTGCGGCCACAGTTCCAGCAGTTCTGCAAGACACAGGCACAGGTTAGCTGCTTGGACCTTGTGGGGTAGGCGTATCACCACCGGTCAGCTGCGCTACGTGGGGGGAGCGTGGCATTCGAGGCTATGCGTACCGGGGCTTGTCCTGCCTCTGCTGCTGTCTGCCTGTGCGCGGGGAACACCCCCTCCTCTCTGAATTCCTTCATCTGAGAGGAAAGCCACCTACCACAGGCTGGCGGGACAGCAAGATGAAGGGTGCCAGGGGAGGGCAGGTGGGAGTTCTCACCGCCTGCCAAAGGTACCCACTCATTGTTCTGACTCACATTTAATCCTCAGCGACCAAACTCTGTCCCGGGGTCCCCAACACCATGCTTGTACACCTGTGTTTAGGTAAATTTTTTTTCTCTCGTTCTTCCCAACAGAGGAATGATCTTGAGTGTTTCCACCAACACCACCTGATCCATTAAAGAAAAGTCCCCTGTTAGGGGACCAGAATGGGCAAACAGGAGTGAGTAGTAGTGCTACTTCCTCTGTGCCCGTTGTCCTGTCAGAGGTGGGCTGGGAGTCACGGGACTGCTTCTGATTCGTTTAACGGAGGCCCGCCACTCCTGGGAACTCAGCGGCCTGGAAGGTTTCTTGCTACTCCTTGCACTTGCCGGGGAAGGGACAGGTGTTGCTGGGACTTGGCAGAGATGCATGGGGGGGCGGGGTGATGGAGGGAGAGCACCAACTGAGAAAGCACTACTTCCACAGAAGGGATGAGCCAAGCTGAGACCTGGTTAGAGCTACAAGGAGCAGTTGTGAAAGAAGCAAAAACAGTCTTGAACAGACAGCGTTGCACTTCCCCCAGTCAACTAAGAAGGGCAAAGCAGCGTCATGAAGAAGGAGGCCACCAGGCACGACTCCTGGCACCTGCCCTTTGGAACTCTCCCTTCCCTTAGGCTCCCGTAATGACTTCCAGTGAGCCTGCCCCTGATGCCTCTGGGACTCACAAACAAGGGAAAAAGCCTCTGACACTGGCCAGGTGAAACTACCAGAAAGAGGCAAGGCTTTGCCAGGCACCAGGAAGGACCTGACCACCAGCTAGCTGGCAACCCCGCCAGCCTCCCCCCCTCCCCGACCTTAGGTTCTCCAGAATGGCAGAGGCCGATTGGAGGCTGGGCCTGACCAATCTGTAGTCCCCTCAGGGAAGAAAGACACTATCCCCAATGAAATCTGGACACTTACTCAAGTATAAAAGAACAGACACATGCTTGGGGCCACCTAGCCCACATTTTGCATTGTGCAGATGGGACACCAAGAGCCAGCAGGCAGGGACACACCTCAGGCTATAAAGTGATTACACGGCTGTGCCAAGCCTGGAACCTGGACCTCCTGACTCCACCAGACTCAATGTACAAGTTTAGTTTCAAAGCGCTTACAAAGGATTGCAGATGCCCTTCAAACCTAATTGGCTTGTCAGGAAATATACTCGGGATGGCCCAAACTTGCCCAGCACCTACAGCAGAGGCCCAGAACAGGCGGCCGACGGCTTTCTCAGGTTACATTTACAGATTCTCAAGCAAACTATACTCCAGATAATTTCATCCTTTTGACCCTGGTAGGCTGACTCCAAATGATGCTGTAGGAGAACATGATCACTTGTGGGGAAGAAATTGTTTACTGACTACATGGGGCCACTGTGGAAACACAGAGACCAATGAGTCAGCTCCGGCTGAATGGGAGAGCCTCTACTAGCTCTGTCCAAGCCTGGGAGAACATCTCAAACTGGGAAAGTGTATTTAAAAAAAATTTTTTTTGAGAGAGAGAGAAGTGTGAGTGGGGGAGGAGCAGAGAGAAAGGGAGACACATAATCCAAAGCAGGCTCCAGGCTCTGAGCTGTCAGCACAGAGCCCAACATAAGGCTTGAACTCACAAACGGTGAGATAATAACCTGAGCCAAAATCAGATACTTAACCAACTGAGCCACAACCCAGGCACCCCTGAAATGGGGAAAGAGTATTAAGCCACTAGTACTTTCACCTTGGCTGCCATTATATATTTAAAATAGGTTATTTCTGAATTTATGGGATACAATAAAACAAGATAACTGGCCCCCATAGAGGCAAGATCAGAGAATGCAGGAAGAATGTGGTTAGTGCCAGAATAGCCAGAGTAAAAAGGACATTTTAGGTTCCCTTTCCCTGTGGCTTTTTCCTCCCTGACAACAATGAGGCTTTTTTGCCAAGATATAAGGCAAAACATGTATTACTGTTGTAGCTGCCCTTCAAGTCTGCATTTCTCAAAGCTGGAGGAACACATGTGGCAAACAGTCCTTTGTGGCAAGTAGAAAGAGGTTATAAACCTTATGAGTTACTGGCCAGGTAACTCTGAAAGGGGATTCCAGAATTTCCTTTGTTAAGCAAAGATCATCAGTCTATGCCATTATTACAGGTTCCCCTGCTATCTGGAAGTGGAGTCTTCCTCTGAAACTTCTGTAAGCTGAAATAGCGGAAAGTGGAGAATTAGCATTAATTTAATGGAAAAATTCCCAGACCCAGAAAATACTTTCTCTTAGGCTTTTCCTTAGGACACATCTTGCTAATGGATGCACAAAATAAATTGAGATAAAGCACAGATGCTCACAAACCCAGTTCAAAGCTCTCACAGCTGGATGCTGACTGAGGGTGTAGTTCCCAAGGAAGCAGCTTGGCAGGGCCACTCTTGCTGCTCAGGGTGTGTGCTGCTTCTAGAACAGCTCACTGCATAACAAATGCTAAACACTATTTTTGTTTTTTGCCTTTTCTCATCAAAGTGAAAATACTCTTCAGATTTCTTTTGGCAAATGAAAATAGGTACTAATGTACATCTTTTGTAAAAGCAAAGGCGTAATGCGAATTTTCAAAAAGCAGGGGATACCTGTAGTGTAATGTAAGTGTGGTCTGGGACGCACCGGTACCAGAATGACGTGGGGCTTATCAAAATCTCTGGGACCCTCCCCAGGCCTCCTTGACCTTACTGCAAACCTGGCCCAAAGGGGAAATGCTTACCCATCTTACAGTCAATAGTCAGTCCATTAGGTTTGCAAGGAAATCCAGGCTGAGGACAGAAGGTGCCTTGTGGCAGAGACGAGGAGACATTGTACTCCAGCCCTCTGCCCGAGAGCAGACCCTTGGGGTCTAGCCTTAGCTTCAGAGGACGCAGCTGTTCTATAAAAGCAGGAGCTGCCACAGCTTATACCTGTTTTTACACTGTAACAAAATCCTTTCTGTCTACACAGTGCACTGCAATTTAAAAACGCTTCCACAACCACAATTTTGATCTCGTTAGATTTTGTAAAACTATGGGACCAGCAGGCCAGGGGCTGCTACACACTATACAGAGAAGGAAACTGAATCCTTAGGGGTACACTGCCAGTGTGAGGGGGAAGTGGGACTAGAACTCAGGGCTCCTAACCTCCAGTTCTGAGTTCCCTCCATTATACCCCACTACTTCTCAGAGAATAAGAATTCCAGAGATGCCTGCTGGACTTCAAGAATTTTCTGGATGGGATAAAGGGAATTCAGGTCATCTGGCCAGATGCAAACTGACCTACAGCTTAGGTCCCGCTAGCACGCCTGTTTTGGAAAGTTGCCTGGGATGGATGCTGGTGCAAGCCTCACCTGCAGGCCTCTTTGAGCACTGTTGAAAATTACAGGTCCTTAACAGCCCAATACTGTAAATAGAGAGCTGACATTTAAACCATGCAGTCTAGATCCAGAACTCATGCTCTGAGCCAAAATGCTACACTCCTTTTTGGAGGCAGACACATTCAAAGGTAAACACAGATATAAAAGCCGGTAAACACAAACAGATAATGATATTGATATGGATGGCTACAGATACAGAAGTGAACACAACAGAGACATCCCTGCTCAGAAACAATTCTAAAGAAAAAGTAGCCGGGGAGAAAGGCAAGAAGAGGGTTAATGGAACTATTTTCTTACAATTCAGTGCCCTTATTGGGATGCTACAATAAGGAATTTTCCAACATCCTCTGTGATAGCTACACAATACTTAGGCTTGGCACTGCTACACTGACGGGGACCATTTACATAGGATGAGATAATAACGTTTCTCTTGTTTATAACAAACAAACAAACAACAACAAAAACCACCCAGTTGTTTATGTCTCAGCTGGTAGATGGATCTGCCTACTTAAAGAAACAGGCTTGTTTCAGGACTTATCTCAAAGCTGAAAGATGACTGAAATGAAAGTTACAGAAGAACTTTACCTTCCAAAGGGCTGTTAGAATGTTTGTGTCATATGCGTTTTTCTTTCCAGTTTGATTACTTTAGTCCTCACTATGGTACAAGACTATCCTGTATACAAACATCACTGAGTCCTGGGCCTGGGGTCTTGGGAGAGGTGGACACATTTGCCCAATCTGTCACTTTAATCCATAAAAGAACCATCCTCTTTATAAATAGACCAAATACAGGAGGGCCCCTGCACCCTGCCTTCAGCACTGCGGGATTATGTCAGTTAAATTCCGTAAGCCCCCGTTTCCTTTTTGGAAAATCGGAACCCAACAATCCCTACCTTACAGGGTCATGGTGAGGATCACAAAGGCAACATACGTGCTTAACTCTGTCTGTGGCACACGGCGAGCCCACTAGTCGATGGTAGTCACCGTAATTATACAATTCCACAAACTCTCTCTTTAGGCTGAGTTTTCAAAATTTAAACTAATATAATGTTTAAGAATATAATAATTAAGAAACAAAATTCTTCTGGTACTAGATAAAAATTACAGTCATCTAGTTCAAGAGTGGACTGCTGTGTCTTACTTCCCATCACTTAAGAAAACTGAGGGCTTGGTCACTGCAGCTGCCCCAGCCCCAGCCCCCAAGGCTACCAGAACTCTGACCTCTGTTGACTCTTCTTGCTCATTTATGACGAGGAAGGCGTCCTCTGCGGCCTGCCGCTTGACGTCCGCTATGGTTTGCTCCATCCGAGCTCTCTCTGTTGCAATCACTTCAAAGGCTTTTTGCTCTGCCTCAGCAACGGCTTTCTGTACTTCCGACATGGCCTGAATTTTCACCTTATTCACAGCTTCTTCTAGAAGAAAGTGACAGTAAAATTAACTGGCCGAGAAATCTTTTCCCTCCCACTCCCTATCACTTGCAAGAAGAGACAGAGCTGAAACAAGAGGACTTTTTCCAAAATACAGAGGGTTTAACATAAGACATACACATTCACTTTTATTCACTTGTGTGTTCATGGATTCATTTGTTGGGTGTGTACATGGAAGTGGGTACTGTGCTATGGGCTGGGGATACCTAGAGGACCAAGATGAACTCCATATTCTCCTAACTGTGATCAAGTAGAAAGGTATGTCAGTACAAGAGTTCCAAGGAGTTCCACTCTACAAGTGGCAGGGAAGGATCAAGAAAACGTGTCTTGGTTGAGACGGTAAGTGGAAATGAATTTTTGGAAAAGTCTTGCATCCCATGCTAAGGATGTTATTAGCCCTTTTTCTAGAGAAAACTTGAACTCCTGAAGGGTTCTATGCAAGCAGAAAAGACTGAAGGCAGAGGGTCTGGGAGAGGCAGGGGCAAAAGACATTCAGCTGATAGAAGAGACTGAATTTAGGCAGGAGCAAGTGGCACAGAGGAAGGGATGGGGCAGAATGAGGCTGGTGGCAGCTATGGGTCTGGAGGTGAAGGTGAAGGTGGAGAATGGCAGAGTCATGAAATGTAACAAATAGCAAGCAAAATGCCATGTGGAGGCTAGTGAGAAGACTGAAGTGCCCTAGGATACCCAGACACAAATGTCCAGGAAGCAGTTAGGTTCAGAAGACTGAACTTGGCAGAGAAGCATGGGCTGAAGATACAGATTTGGGCACGCCAGGAGCCTGGGCTTCCAAAGCCTGGTCCAGTCACCATCGCCCCACTTGGTTCTTGACACATCTTCCCATCGCTGCCATCCTGCTTGCTTTCCACAGGACGGACACTCCAAATGGCACACTCTTCGCAGTGAGCCTCATCTCCAAGTCCCAAAGTGAAAGACCTCCTTCCCAAGTCCACAGAACTAGAAAACCCAGAAGCCTAAAGAAACTCCTTTACTGCTTGGTTCTTTGACATGGCCTAGGCTCAAAGAAGATCTAAAGAGAGTGTTCTAGGCTGCCATCTTATCACTCCAGCCTTATGAAAAAAACATTTTTGGGGCACCTGGGTGGCTCAGTAGGTTACCTGTCTGCTTTCGGCTCAGGTCATGATCTTATGGTCCTTGAGTTTGAGCCCCACATCGGGCTCTGTGATGACAGCTCAGAGCCTGGAACCTGCTTCAGATTCTGTGTCTTTCCCTCCTTCTCTCTCTCTGCCCCTCACCCACATGTGCGCATGTTTTCTCTTTCTCTCTCAAAATAAATAAATATTAAAAAAAAGGGAGAGAGAGAGAGAAAAAAAAACATTTTTACCCCAAAGGACAATGGATGATGCTGAACTGACTTGACACTGACTCTGTGCTTCCTTTACTTCCGGTACTCACACAGGTCCACTGCGGCCCACCATAGCTACCCATCATAAGCCTCTTTTAGTTAGCAGATACAGGTGTCTTAAGCCAACATAACAATGCCCTGAAGTACGTTTTTTCCTCTCAGGTTAAGGACCAATCAATAAGAGTCATAGTTTGAATAACTACCTTGCTAAAGTCATCTAAGGTCACAGATGACACCAAAGCAGAGGAAGGACTCAAATCTAGCTGGTTCAACACCAAACTCTGGCTCTTAACCATAGTTAACCCAACAATATCTCACAAGCAGGAAATCACTAGTTATCAAGGAGATCTCGTGCACGGAAATCTTTCTCTCTACCTTTTTAAAAAAATGTTTTTAAAATGTTTTATATATTTCTGAGAGAGAGACAGTGAGAGCGAGAGAGCGAGAGCAAGAGAGAGAGAGAGACAGTGTGAGCAGGGGAGGGTCAGAGAGAGAGGGAGACACAGAACCTGAAACAGGCTCCAGGCTCTGAGCTGACAGCACAGAACCTGACACGGGGCTCGAACCCTCGAACCATGAGATCATGACCTGAGCCGAAGTTGGACGCTCAACCGAATGAGTCACCCAGGTGCCCCTCTTTCTTTCTACCTTAACAACTGCTCTCTTCATTTCCCATAATTCTATCCTACTTCTTGATAATACACATTTCCGTTTCCAACTGCAAATATTTCCCAAATGCTATCCCACGACACCCTGGGATTACAACCTGAGCCAAAATCAAGAGTTTAATGCTCAACCAACCTAGCTACCCAGGTGCCCCCATCTTGTACCTTCCTGACTGCCAGGAAGAACAAATAATCAGTAGTATGTCTATTCTCATTTTTCACAATCTGTTCATATCTTTTGTCTGTTTGTTTATTATGGTCTTGATGCTCCTAAAAGAGTCTTGTGAAGGTCACCTATTAACTTTTGTAGAAGTAAATTTCATCTGAGGTGCCTGGATGGCTTAGTAGGTTGAGCATCCAACATCGGCTCAGTTCATGATCTTGCATTTTGTGGGTTCGTGCCCTGCATCAGGCTCTGGGCTGACAGATCAGGGCCTGGAGCCTGCATTAGATTTGGTGTCTCCCTCTCTCTCTGTCCCCGCTGCTTATACTCTGTCTCTGTCTCAAAAATAAATAAACATTAAAAAATCCTCAATTAAAAAAATAGTACTGGAAAAGGGAGACTAGAAGGAAAAGGTGGCTTGGGACACCTGGGTGGCTCAGTTGGTTGAGCATCCAACTCTTGCTTTTGGCTCAGGTCATGATCCTAGGGTTGTGGGATCAAGACCCATATTGGGCTCCATGCTGAGCATGGAGCCTGCTTAAGATTCTCTATCTCCCTCTGCCCCTTCCACACACACGTTCTCTCAAAATTAATTAATTAAATTTAAAAAAGGAGAAGGCAGATCGTCTCTGGACTAGGGCAGGATTAGGGACATGGTGTTAACTCCCCTATTTTATCACAATAGGCAGACCCGCTCTCCTTTAGTCTTCTAGAAAATAAAGACCACCAAGAACAGTCTTGACAAAACTGGGGACAATGAAGGTGAGAAGAAGAGCAGGGGGCTGTTCCAAGACCAAAATAAACCAAATGTGGTAGTGCGTGGACACAGTGTGTGTAGGTTTGAGTGAAGACAACATGCAGAAATGAACTGAGCTATATGCCCAGAAATAAGGCATATAAACAGGGAAGGAAAAGTTGGTTACTTAATGCCTTAGAGTGGCCCAGCAAAAGGGTGTGCAAAGGACTTGGATGGACTATAGGGAATCATTCCAGATTCCTGACCTGCAAAGTAACATGAGAGGCAGTCAAGATGTATGGGAAAGCTGAAGAGGGAGAGGCAGGAGCCTAGAGTTCTGAGGGAAAAGTTATGAGACAGCCACCTTTCCCCCAAGCTTGGGCTCCATGCTTGCACAAATTAGTGAGTACACGTGACCTAGAATCAGACAGACACGTACCAGTTTTTTTCCAAAACTCCACAGGTACATATCCTGTTCCTGGCCTACTGTTGAATTCTCGCTGAGAATCTACGGAAGAGATAAATAGCACAGGGTTAGAAGCTGTCTATAAACCAACATGTTTTATTTTTACGAAAAATTTTAATGAAAAATCACAGCTCTCATTCACCACTTAGAAAGATTCAAAGACATACGTTCACTTAGTGCAAAAATGGTAAGGGATAAAATCAGATAGTATACTTAATATTTAGCTGTAAAACACACACAAACACACGTGTGTGTGCACCTCAAATAGAACAGTATTTCAATTCAAAGTAGTGAGATTAAAAGTGATTTTCACTTCCTTCTTTTATCTATATGTTCTTATGAACATGTATGTACTTTTAAGATACTCCCTAAAAATTAACTACAGATGCTTATGGGTATGCATGTGTGTGTATCAAATCCAGTTTAACTGTCCCATCATACACAGGTCTCTCTCAGGGGCTCTATAGGTTATGTCAGAGAATATGGATTTTGTTTTTTGGCAACTCTTAATTTTTACATGTGATTTAAGAGGCTTTTGTTTAAAGTTTCTTAAGATGCTTATAACAAACAAATAAAAAGCAAGCAGTAAAGAAAAAACTCTGATCTGGAACAGTGCATTTCAAAGGTAGCCCAGAGGCATCCCACAGGGCTGCTGGGAAGGGCACAAGTGTGGAAGGTGACACATTTGTGTCTGATTATTGTGATTTTAAGATACAATATTTTATAAGAACTGGTTCCACTGAACCAAAAAAAATTTTTTTAAGGAGTAAATCCCAGAAGACTTGCCCATTTCCTTATGTTTTACTGAGGCTAATCTACAATTTTATGCTCTGAATACGCACCAACCCACGGTGCAAAGAGGAATCTGGGGAGCAGTCAGCATGACAGGGAAGGTTGGCCCGGCATGAAATGTTTGCCAGAGGAGCTTTCTAAAACGGTTAGTCCTCATGGGAATGCCTAAGAACTAGCTATGAGGCAGGAAACTCCCCAGGGTGGGGAGGGGATCTCTCCATTCCAAGGGCTATCAGCACAAAGAACCCACGTCAGTATCCGCCCCCAGAACTAGGAGGGGAAAGGGAGGCTTTTTCTAAATCATGTAAAATACAAATAAAATTACCATTTTCAATATAATTCAGAGACATTCAGTACATTCACAATGTCTGATTTTTTTTTAAGTAAATAAACAAATTATTTTGAGAGAGGGAGAGAGCACAAGAGCCCACATGAGCAGGGGAGGGGTAGAGAAAGGGAGAGAGAGAATCCCAAGCAGGCTCCAGTGCTGTCAGCACAGAGCCTGACATGGGGCTCAATCCCATGAACTGTGAAATCATGACCTGGGCTGAAATGAACAGTCGGACACTTAACCAACTAAGCCTCCCAGGCACCCACAGTATATTCACAATGTTGTGCGACCATCCTCACCAGCTAGTTTCAGAACATTTCTTTTTAATTCTTTTTTTAAAATGTTTCGTTTATTTTGCGAGAGAGATAGAGAGAGCAAGAGCAGGGGAGGGCCAGAGAGAGAGGAAGACACAGAATCCGAAGCAGGCTCCAGGCTCTGAGCTGTCAGCACAGAGCCTAATGCAGGGACCAAACCGAACCCACGAACCGTGAGATCATGACTTGAGTTGAAGTCGGATGTTTACCTGACTGAGCCACCCAGGCGCCCCATGACATTTCTATCACCACGAGAAGAATTCCATAAGTTTAAAATACTGATTGTACTAATACTTTTTTGTGACACTGAGGTCTCTAGAGGTGCTACCACCACTGTCAATAAAATGCAAAGGGAAGGGCTCTCTTCCACACAGGTAAGGTTCCTGATTCCTGGAGCCATTTGTCAAACACCTAGAAACTCACGGATTAGATTCAAGATATAAATACAGGGAAAAATCTAGGATCAGAGGAGTCAATGTGACACAAGCTAGAGAAGGCAGTGGATCATTTTCAAAAGCATCTTCAATAAGGAAAACCAGTGAGGAAAAAGGTTTAAGTCCATAGACAAGCTGCCATTGGTAATAAATGACAGAAGAAACACTTGTTTACCTGTGGGGCTATGGGGGAAGTCTTGAGCAACCCAGGAGAAGCCACTTCATTTCAGTCAGCAATATGCCTTGGTCATACCCTTTATATCGATCTACCTGGTCCTCAGCATTTTTTTCTCTAACAGATGAAAAGGTGAGATGCACTTGACCCTAAAGGAACTTCTCAGCTTACTCAGGACATAGCTGGAAACTAGGGGCATATTCATGACATTTCCAAAAGCCAGAGTAACTGTTTTTATATCTCTAACCCAGAAAGGAACTAAAAACAACTAGAGTCTCAAGGGCACCTGGGTGGCTCAGTTGCTTAAGTGTCCAACCCTTGATTTTGGCTCAGGTCATGATCTCAGTTTTTGAGTTCGAGCCGTGACTCTGTGCTGACAGCACGGAGTCTACTTGAGATTCTTTCTTCCTCCCCCACTCACGCTTTCTTTCTCTCTCTCTCTCAAAAAGAAAATAGACTGAAAAAATAAAAACAGAAACAAATATGAAAACCCCTATTAGTCTCAAAGGCTACTGTAATCAAAGGTCAGACAGATAATGCAAATAAGTTGGGTCAGAAATGGGCAACAAATGGTATTGTGGTTGTGTAGGAGAATGCTCTAGTTCTTAGGAGAAATAGAACAAAACATTTAAGGACGAGTGTCATGAATATTTGGGGGAGACCGTACCTACCTACTAATCTATAATGGGAGAAAGTAAATATGGCAAAAGTGGAAAATGGGTGATTTAGGTATAGGGCACATACATGAGTGCTCATTTTTAACATTTTTATGTGTTTGATAACTTCAAAATAAAAAACTGGGGAAAATGTTCTTTGAAGCATATGCATAGAAAATTCTATATGTACAAAAAGAAAAAAAAAATAAAAACCAGATGCTTGGCACAAAAAAAAAAAAATCTCTATGAACAGACTAATTTGTTAAGAAGTGAGCCTATGGAAGCAGGAGGGAAAAACTAGGTGGCGGCAGGATTTTTACCATTTATATGTTCCTGCATTGCTTGACCTTTATACAATGCAATCCATTAAAAAGAAATTAATTTTAGGGGCGTCTGGGTGGCTCAGTCGGGTAAGTGTCCGACTTCGGCTCAGGTCATGATCTCACGATACGTGGGTTCGAGCCCCGCGTCCAGCTCAGATCCTGGAGCCTGTTTCAGATTCTGTATCTCCCTCTCTCTCTCTGACCCTTCCCTGCTCACACTGTCTCTCTCTCTCAGAAATAAATAAAAGTTTGATATTATATGGGGAGGCTGTGTAACATAATGGCTAAGAGTGTGTGCTGGATCTGGAATGCTGAACTTATAATCCTGACTTAACTATAATGTGACCATTTTGGCCAACTTTTTAATTTATTTAAGCCTCAGTTTTGTCATCTGTAAAAGAATATAATAGCAGTTCCTATATTTCAACAGGTAGTTCTGAAAATACATGTGACAGGTTTAACATGGCTGGAACACGGTACAGAACCCAGATAAACTATTATTACTAAAATTGATAACTGATATAGTCAGAAAGATTAATGAAGGGGACGCTGAGGTGGCTCAGTTGGTTAAGTGTCTGACTCTTGATTTTGGCTCAGGTCATAATCTCAGAATCTGTGAGTTCCCAGCCCCTCGGTGGGCTCTGTGCTGACAGTGCAGAGCCTGTTTAGAATTCTCTCTCTCTTCTTTCTCTGCCTCTCCCCTACTTGTGCACACACACACACTCTCCGTGTCTCTCTCAAATAAACATTAAAAAAAGAAAGATTAATGAAGGAAACCGACTGAAGTATTTAACAAAATCTAGCATCCGATAATTATGTCATTTCAATATTTAAAGGATGGGCATCAGTTAATTGATAGCAGGAAAATTTAAACAATTTGGGAAATTTTAAGTTAGATAGCTAATTCCAAACACACATACTTGAATATAACATAGATGAAATTTGTTGTACCTTGGATAGAATTCAAGGTCAAGTAAAAACCCATTAAGGGAAAAGATGAATTTGATTTCATAAATACTAACTATCCCATCCATCAAAACAAACCAAGATGGGGTGGGGGAGAAAACAAAAACAAAACCAAGATCAAATGAACAAAAATGCCTATATTCACAACCCATTAATTTTATAGCTAAGAATATAGCTCTCCTAAGGGAGAAATGCAAGATGTTTGAAAAATCCTTACACGTAAAAGATTTTAAATATTGCATTACACACTGAAAAACAAAAATAAAACAAGGAAACAATATGCAATGATTAACAAGAAAAACGGCATAAGGAAATTATAGTGTATTTACATGATAGAATATTGTATAATCATGAAAATTGTGTTTATAAAATCTTTAATGATGTAAGAACATACTTAATATGAACTTGTATTTTCAAGGAAATAATACACAGTTGTAACAGGATTCTCAGATACATTTGAAAATTCTTCAGTGTGGGATGATGAGCTAACAAATTCTTCTTACATTTCTATATTTTCTACAATGAGCCACGTAGTTCCAACTAAACAGTGATATGTACCTCATAAGACTGTTCTGGGGAATTAAATGGTAACATACGTAAAGGAATGGTTCTCAATTCTGGGAGCCCAGGTCCCACGTTAGTCCAATTAAATTAGAATCTTGAGGTGGGGCCAAGGCATCAGGAATTTTCCAAAAGTCCCCTTGTGGGATCTAATGGGCACCTAAGCTTTAACTACTAAAGAAAAGTGCCTGACTTAGAAGCTGGTGCTCATGGTTAAGGTCTTCCAAACCATAGCAAGGGCACTACCTCTCTGTCGGTCAGATATATTTTTTATTATAACAATGAGGTGTCTTTCATTAGCTGATTCTTCTGTTATTGCTACATCCTGATTTTTCAGTTGTGGTTATTACTGATTGACCAAATATTTCACTTTCTTTTAATCCCCACCTCCATTCCACCCCAGGCACATTCACAATTCCTTCCCCTTCCATTCGCTGCAATAGAGAGCTACTCAAATTCTGTTGCACTGGTAGTCAACATTTTCAGTACTTAATGTTAAATGCTAATCATAGCTGGGTCATGTGGTTCAGGTCCTATGAATCTTTTTATCTTCCTGAACAAGTTTTCATTTTTTTAGGAGTTAATAATTGCAGGGCGCCTGGGTGGCTCAGTTGAGTGTCTGACTTTCGCTCAGATCGTGAGCTCGCGGTTTGTGGGTTTGAGCCCCTTGTCTGTGCTGACAGCTTGGATCCTGGAGCCTGCTTCAGATTCTGTGTCTTCCTCTCTCTCTGCCTCCTCTGCTCATGTTCCATCTCTAACTCTCTCACTTAAAAATAAATAAACATTAAAAAAAAAGAATTAATAATTGCCTTGTTTAGTCATATGCTAAGTTTCTTATGTAATTCTTTCTTAATCAATCTCACCTTCTTTCTATTGTGTAGATATTTTATACATTTCATTTTCTTGAAGAAATATCCAGCAAGCTTTTGGCCAATTCTTGCCTCAACTGCTTTCTAGGTTTGCTGTAATCTGTTGCTCGGGACCCTCCCTCACCAGCCTAGGTATTGCCTTCTGTTCTCTTTCTCAGGTTGGATCTAGCATAATCAATTCCATGTCTTCCACTTTCTGGTTTACTGTGCTGTTTTAGGGCACAGCCTACTCAACTGTGATAGGCACCCTGGTAAAGAGTACATAGGAGGTGCATTTTAAAAAAAATTGTATGTTGTTAAACATTTAACTGTTTCGGTCTAGCACAGAAGTCTAAGTTAAAATAACCTTCCTTCAGAGTTTTCTTCGAACTTTCTACAATGCTGTCATGATCTCATGGTTTGCGAGTTTCAGCTCGACATTGTGCTCATTGTTGTCAGTGCAGAGCCTGCTTCAGATCCTCTGTCCCCCTCCACCCCTGCTTCTCTCTGCCCCTCCCCCACTTGTGCACAAACTCGAGTGCTCTAAGAAAAAATAAAAGGGATGAGTAGAGGGTAGTGTTTAAATGGCTCAGCAAGGCCTGCCATCCTGGCCGGAGAAGAGCTGCTTCAGGACCACAGCTCACTCTGCACTAGGTGCCTCCCACCTAAACACATGCAGACTGACTGGTGGAAGGTTTGTGATTTGAATGGTGAACTTTGGATGTTTCTATAAGTTGCTACAGGGACTACTGTCAAGGTTCAGATGGTGAGGGATACCTGAGGATGAGCCCTGAAGTTTTTTGTATGTATGTACTGACTGATGACTGGATTGACTGTAAGCTCTAGACTCAACATGAGGCTCAAACTCATTACCTGAGATCAAGAGCTGCATGCTCTTCTAAGCTAGCCAGATGTCCTGAGCTCTGAAGTCTTTATGAAAGTAATCACTGCAGCTACAAGTATTCTTTGATGTCTTGCTGTGATACCCAACAATGATAATCTATGGTTGCCTCAAGAGTTACCTCGGTGGGAGGGGTGGGGAGTGGGATCTTTGGTTATCAACGTCTTTGCCCCATTTTTGTTGAAGTCTTTTGTATTTTTTAAATTATTATTTAAAAAATATGTTTATTTATTTATGTTGAGAGAAAGAGGGACTGGGCAGGGGAGGTTCTGAGAGAGAAGGAGAGAATTCTAAGCAGGCTCCATGCTGTCAGCACAGAGCCGGATCCGGGGCTTGAAGCCACATGTCCTGAGCTTAAACCAAGAGTTGGATGCAAACCGACTGAGCCACCCAAGAGCCCCTTGAAGTCTTTTATAGACAAACAGCTGTCTTCTGTGGAACATGCGAGGTCTGTCATAAGTGATTCATTCTTCCTGATGAGAAGAGGGAGCTTGAAGTCGGTGGGTAGGGGTAAAGTCTGATCACAGATAGCCCCTCATTTGGATGTGTCTTTGAATAGGGACCTTTTTCAGTTACTAGATGAATGCAATGGAACGTTTTGGGGGAAACAGCTATGGATGTATCCTGGATTAACAGAAGTTGTTCTTATCTCTGCTGCTTCAGGCTGATAACCCAGCTTGGTAGAGTAAGGGTATAGTAGAACTTTTTAAAGCCCTCCAGACAGAGGTTGATAAATGCTAATTTCCTGGATGGGAAGTAGGAAACAGATGAGGGAAGGTGAGGTGAACATTTTTAGATTTTCAGGACTACTGTTGAGGAGTATATGTGATGTATGTAAGAGTACGTAAGACATTCAATGAGGCTGACTTTAAGAACCACTCTTTGATCATCACCTAGCACATATAGAGAGAGTTGAAAACAGAACAAAATGACAAATATTCCCATTGTCCATGTGGAAGACCCTATTTTTTTTTAACATTCCAGGTACTGAGTCCTTGACATATTTTATCATACTCTTCACAATCACCTGGGTCTTTCTAACTCCATCAAGCACTATCATCCTACCATCTCAGGTAAGACTCTCCCCTTACCATTGCTGAGAGAATCTGCACTCCCAGGACTGTGCTGTCTAGAGACCAACTCGCTCCCTGTCTTCCTCATCTCTGTGTTTTCGTTACATCGTCTTTTCCAGTAGTTGAGTTCCTCACGATCAGATTCCTGACAGCGCCGCAGGACTGCCATGGAGCGCCTCGTCTTCTCTACCATTTCCATAATGCAATTCAGAGCCTAAGCCAGGGAGCAAGTCAGAGATAAGATTAGGACTTTGAAACAACCAAGACTGAAATTTAAGAGTAGGTAAAATGTAAAGAAGGAAGGTTTAAGTATCTTACAGATCAAGCAATATCAAGTCAATATATGAAAGCCATTCCTAAGAGCTTATTTTTAAATATGTATATGTAAATAATGTTTTTTGGATTTCAAAATAACACTTTTTGGATTCTTCCAGATTGAAGCAGCCAGAGTCTGATCATAATATAGTTCTTTAAACACTATGTATGGTGAAGCACATTACATCTCTGCCCAAAGACACCAAGTTATCTGATAAGCTAGAGATTTACATAAGAATGCGATCTGAGAAGTGATATTTAGAGATAATTTCACTCAAGTAGGAAAAGCTATTGTATGTAAATTTCAAGCAGGTATATCTTTTCTTTCTTTTTAGGACATCAATTCTCATTTGTTTTTGGAGAAGCACCATTTATTTAGTATTTCCTATATACTAGATCCTGTGGTAAGCACCTTACATATTAGAACAACCCTCTTATGAATTCAAATAATACGGTATTCTTGGGGTGCCTGGGTGGCTCAGTCAGTTCAACGTCTGACTTTTGATTTTGGGTAAGGTCATGATCTCATGGTTCGTGGGATGAAACCCCACACTGGGCTTTGCACTGACAATTGGAGCCTGCTTGGGAATCTCTCTCTCTCTCAAAACAAATAAACATTTAAAAAAGTTGTTGTTTTTTTTTTTCAAGGTACAGAAATTAAGGCTAGAAATGGTAAAACAACTTACCCATCATAGAAAGTAGGAAGCAGCAAAGCTGGGACTTTGAAATCCAAAATTTCTGTCTTTAACCATTATACTCTATGACTTTACTTGGTTATATCCTGAAGTGATTATCCCATCAAAAAGATTAGGGAATTACTCTTAGCTCTCTAGCTAGGGCAGTAAGTAGTAGATACACCAAGTTTTAAAATTTATTTTACTATTATTTTGTAAGTAAGCTCTATGCCCAGTATGGGGCTTGAAGGGCTTGAACTCATGACCCTGAGATCAAGAGGCAAACATTATACTGACAGAGTCAGCCAGGTACACTCATATAAGTCAAGTTTTTATGGCAGACACTGTGGCTCTGATTAAATTCACTTCAGGGATATATACCCTTATTATTATTATTATTGGTTATAAGAATTCAATATAATAGGAAAATTATACACTATAAGATTCTTACATGATCGAGATGTTTCCATTCATCAGCCCATTCCCTTTCCGTCAAACGGTGGTCTACCAACTCATCTTGATAGCCTCCATTTAGACCTATTAGAAATTAGAGATTAAATGTGAAGATAGAGGGAAGAATACAATATATAGAATTCTACCAAGTAAATATATAATGCATCCATACCACCAAGAGTACACTGCCAGGGCAATGGTTCACAAGGGAGCAGGGGACCCACAAAATGACATAAAACCCAACAAAATTACCCTTTAGAATATATTATTCTACATTTGTTCTAAAATTTATTCATTTATTCTAAAATTACCATTTAGAATATATTTAAAAAAACTACAAATCAACTATGAAAGACAAATAGCACGAAAGAAAAATGGGCGAAAGAAATAAACAGGTATGCCACAGATAGAAAGCACAGATGGCCCATACACATATGTGAAGACATTCAAACTTATAAGTAGTCATAGTGCAAATAAAATCTTTATGAAGATAGTATTTTATATCCAACCACTGGAAAAAAATTAGATTGTCAGATACAACTAAGTGTTGGGAAGGATGTGGCACAAATCAAATAAATGCTTTAGCACAACAACTAGAGTACTGTACAAGCACTTGGAAACAACTCAGTATTACTTAAAATATATACATTTATTATAATATAACATTTATTACTTAAAAAAATATGTGTATTTTTCTAAGTAGGCTCTACGCCCAACATGCGGCTTGAACTCACAACCCTCAGGATCTTGCATGCTGTACTGACTGAGCCAGGCAGGTGACCCCCACCCAAAAATTTTTTTTGATGGTTTTGATTTATACTGAAATTTGCTGGAATACAAGGACTGTGTGAATCAAAGGTATACTAAATTAAACGCTGTCCAATATTTTGAAAAATCACATCACATATGACAATACTGCTTATAGTACTGGAACCATTAAGATAATACAGTTGTTATCAGTCTAAGTTTACAGGTGTTATATTGATAGTGATCCTGTGTCTGTGTAAGCATTTGCTTACTTCACTACATCTCCTTCTGTAGTCATCCCTGAGCACTAACATAATAATTTCCTATACATTATGGTTTAGAATATTGATGCTACTATTATGGGTCTAAGATAGGCTATAGCTGATGGCTCGGAGCACGGAGCCTGCTTCAGATTCTGTGTCTCCCTCTCCTCTTGCTCTCTCCCCCTCCCCTGCTAGTGCTGGTTCTCTCTCTCTCTCTCAATAAAAACCTTTTAAAAAAGTGTATGAATACAGAAGAAATCAAAAGCAAAGCCTAGTTCTTAACCTAAAAAGTGAGACATGGGGAAAAGGCATTGGACCACAGAGGACAGCTGCAAAGGGTGAGCCACAGCATACTGGCAATGCTTTGGGCATCATAGCTAGACTCTGAATCTGGTTTCTGCTACTTTCTGGCTATGTAATTCTGGCTACAGTTCTTCACCTCTCATCTGTAAAAACGAGGTAACAACTGGACCACTGTGAGGATTAAATGAGAGGATGTACGTCTACTGCAATCTAAGCAGCAGTACCTAAGACTCCGTAAATGTTGGCAGTTGAGAGCACAATTATAGTCGTGGCCCTTGCCACTCAGCTACCACTGCAGGAAGCCAGGGCCTTACTGAGGTCTACACCTCTGAAAGGTGCTGATGAGTCTAAGTGAGAATGGGGACAAGGAAATGTGGGGCACCTGGGCGGCTCAGTTGGTTAAGTGTCCGACTTTGGCTCAGGTCATGATCTCACAGTTCGTGGGTTTGAGCCCCACACTGGGTTCTGTCCTGGCAGCTCAGAGCCTGGAGTCTGAGCTATGACTCCTTCTCTCTCTGCCCCTCCCCTGCTCATGCTCTGTCTCCCTCGGTCTCCAAAATAAATAAAAAACTATAAAAAAAGAAGAAATGTGCTGTAACTTTTTTTTACTCCATGGAGTACCCCACAGATGGAAATGTAGGGGAAACCCTAGAAGCTAGCAGCCCTTTGGTTCTCTGCTTGGTCATGCTCAGCAGTTACTAAAAAACAAAACAAAAAAACCAAACCCCTTCTACAGTGAAATTGTATGAGGACATGACAATAAGCTCTGTTCAAAACTGTCTTGGGTAAGGTCTGTTAGGGGCATTTCTGCCTCTCTCTAGATTGAATGGTTACTGAGGATTCAGGTGCCAGGCAGTCTAATGACTCAGCACAGGTGGTAGTATTAGCTCTATTTTAGAAATGAGTAATCTGAGGCTCAGAGAGCCTAATCAACTTGCATAAGATCACACAGCTAGTTAGTATGCACAGCCAAGATTTAAATTTTAGATCTGCTTCACCTTCTGACCTAAACATCTATGCACTTTCACTCTAAGCCCACATATTTCATATCTTTTTTGGTTAATTTTAAAAACACTTTTAGTCTGGGTCGCCTGGGTGGCTTAGTCGGTTAGGCATCTGACTCCTGTTTTGGGCGCAGGTCATGATCTCATGGTTTGTGGGATACAGCCCTGGTTCAGGCTCTGGGCTGACAGTGTGGAGCCTGCTTGGGAATCTCTCTCTGCCCCGACGCAGCTTGTACTCTCTCTAAATAAATAAATAAACTTGAAAAAAAAAACAAAAACACATTACCATGAAATAAATCAAGAGTTAGAGAAACACTGCAAGAATAGTAAAAGAATTCTCTTATGTCCTTCACCCAGTTTCCAAAATGTTAGTATTTTAGTTGATTTGTTTTATCATTCTCTAGTTGTATGCATCATTTAAGAATAAGTGTTATCTCCTTTTCACTGTGTATTTCCTAAAATTTACTGAATCCCACTTCTATCATATAACAGCAATAAAGTATGAAGGGAGATCAATTTCCCAGTGAAATCAACACAACTCTAATATTCTTTTTTATGTATAATATAGTTTTATCTATCAGTGGAATAAAAGCAATGACTGTACTATTTTGCTGTATAACTGAATAGGTAAGAAACCCAATGATTCAAACTGAATTTCAATCATTACCATGCTGCTCATGTCACTTACTAAGATTGTGGTGTCTATCACGAACTTCTCGATGTTCCAGCATCTTATTGGGCTCACGATACAGGTGTGAAGTTGCAATATCTTCTAACGTGTAGTGCTGAAGAGGTGGAGGAGTCGGATGGAACTGGCCCCCAGGATTCATGAGGGGCACAGTGAGGGCAGGACTGTGCCGGGGAGCAGGGCTGATGGTGCACACTCTCTTGGCAGGAGGCTCGGGAGGAATTGTATCTCTTTCAAAACCGCTCTCTTCCCTCCTATAGAAGAACCGGAAGTACATATCTTAGCCCATAAACATGTGTTCATGCAAACATGTCCTGAGCACCTGCTCTGTGTTATGTATTGTGCTGTGCACTTTCCTGAACAGGAAGATGATAAGGAAAGGTTTGACATGAAGCATGAACTGAAATGTCTCCAGGGGGAGGCAGAAAACAAATTTTCACTGCTGTTAAAATACTGCTTCCTTGACCAACACTTTCACTCATACTGAAAATTTCAGAATAAATTAATATAACTTCAAACTTCAAAGTAAGGGTGATTCATTACCAAGTATCAATCACTAATTGTTATACTTTATTATTAGACTTTACACATCAGAAGAAGTGTCTTGGACAGATTCTATTTCTGATGGTTCTGAAGGAGTGGGCCCATGGAGTCTCTAGAGCAGACTCTCTCACCAGGGGTATGCAGAGTCATTGAAGAATTTCTGAAAAATATTTGTGTCTGGGAGCCACACCTATAGATTTGAGAAACATTCTGGTCTCTGATATTGGGACAAAGCAGAGCCAACCTTAGAAATTCTGAGTCTATACCCATATATAATCATAGTCATCAAATTCTCTTTCCTTCACAAGCAAAGGGAAAGCTTAGAGTAATTCCAGAAAAGCAGGGACAACAAAGCACTTCTCTGCTCACCTCTCTGGACTGGGTCTCTTTCCGTTTCCATGCACTTCCATGAGTAGCTCAGAAGAGTCAGCAGGTGACGCAATACTTGTGTTGAGCAGAAGGTGTTCGTGCTGAGCCAGGTACTGGGATGGGGTCTGCTTGGCGGCTCGAGCACAGTGCAGCAGTTCTCGCTGCAGCAGGGGCAGATTGGCCTTGAAAAACAGAGGCAGGGGCTGGAAGGCAGTTTTCCAGGTGTTGGGCCCCACACAACAGAGCTCAGCCCCTCAAAAGGCTTTCATAAACAGGATGACACCAGACAAAAGACCTTAGCTCCTCGTCAGCCTGATTTTTATATGCCTGAGAGTAAAGTGACATCTATAATACCGAACTTGAATTATTGGTTAACTTGTCTCTTGCCCCCACAAGGTATAAATCCCCTCAACGGGAAGACTGTGCCTTATTTACCTAAGTGGACTAGTGCAGAGTGAAAGCTCAGTGAAGGTGTTGAACGTATTAAGAATTTGTACATTTTTGGGACATTTGGCTGGCTCAGTGGGTAGAGCATATGGCTTTGGCTGTCAGGGTTGTGAGTTCAAGCCCCATGCTGGATATGGAGCCTACTCAAAATTTAAAAAAAAAAAATTTTTTTAAAAATTTAGTCATTTCCCAAGAAGAGAATTAGTACCATTTACACAAGGGTAGAAGGAATTCACTCTTTCCTCTATGATTATCAGTAACTGTTGGTTTCTCTCTTTCAAATCCCCTCGTCTCTGACAGGACCGCTCAACCTTTTTTAATGTTCTCTATGATAGCTGGAAGCGACAATTACTCTGTCTTGGTAGGAACATGGGGTTTTGAAGAAAGTATCGACAGTGATGGAAATGAAGGCAACAAGCCTAGACAGACTAGGCTCTGAGGACACACACATAACTCAGGGGCAAAATCCATTTCTTGTGTGGCACCCTAGTTGAACCTGTTTCCTTATTTTGTTGTTGTTGTCTAATGTTTATTTTTGAGAGAGCACAAGCAGAGGAGGAGCAGAGAGAGAGAAGGACACAGGATCCAAAGTGGGTTCTGCGCTGACAGCAGTGAGCCCGACGCGGGGCTCAAATCCATGAACCGTGATATCATGACCTGAGCAGAAGTCAGACGCCCAACCGAATGAGCCACCCAGTCACCCCTGTTTCCGTACTCTGTAAAAGAATAATTAACTTTGTAGTTATTATATTTCCTTCACAAGCTTAGAAACCTTTAATGGGGACAAATAATAAAACAAATCCTATCTACCTTTAAACTTCATCTTCATATGTAAAATGTACTTTTCCTACATTCCTTTTATTCAAAGAAAATAATTATATTTTTTTCTCCCCAAATTTAAGAACAATTCAGACTGAGCATATAACAGACATCTTTATCTCAAGGGAAACAGATGAATAAGTAAAAGGAGAATTTTAATAGATCTAAGTAATGGTCCCTTTACCGAGAGTTAATTTAGGAGGCACATAATTAGTGATTGTTTTAAAGCAGAAATAAATTGAGAAAACCCAAACACTGGCCCAAAAGCTGCCATAACATCCTACCTCATGCTGTCTTCCAAAAGAGTTAAGAATAGGGAACATGACAACATAAAATACTTTTTAAGTCTGTTCTATAACCTCAATCTTGTAGCAACTATAAAAAAAAAATCTTAACTGAAAAAAATACTGTGTCATATAACTTTCACATTTGTGACATGTGCCCTTTGATGAATTTTTTTAATGCTAATTATTTCCTATTAACACAAATCTCACAAATCTTTCTTGGTTCTGGAGTCTTAGGGGAAAATAATTGTCTCCTGGCTCTGACATACAGCAACGAGACCGAGACGGAAGCAGCACACCTGTTTTGGGGCTGAAAAGGGCGCCGCAGACTGCTCTGAGCAGCGAAGCTTCCATGCTATCAGAACAGAGCCACATGCAGCCCAGGCCCCTGACACCTATGCATTTTCCTATTTGTTTGCTCTACTCTCATTTTAAAAGATTAAAAAAACTGGTAACAATACTCCAATAAGTTGACCCATCTTTTTGATGTTTTTATTATTTTTTTTAGGAAGTGAAGGGCAAAAATACAGGTAAAAGGGGAATATTTATTTGGCCAGGTGTTTTAGGCTTTGTAAGTCAAGAGGCAAAAGTGAAGATATGATGTAGGTTGTCATATACAAGAGAAAAAACAAATTTCCACAACAGTGTATAAAAAAAGGTCAAAAAACAAAAAGCTGAGTCTAATTTTTTGTAATATTTGTCTCCCGCGAATGAAAAGAGTGGAATTCATTTTGTTGGGGGCGGGGGGGGGGGGGACTGAGGATAACATTTAGCTTAACTGGGTTCAGAGTTAGTGTTCCCTATTACAAACTGATTACAAATGCACGTCTGTAAAAATTAATCTTCTTGGGGTGCTTGGCTGGCTCAGTCGGTAGAGCGTTCGACTCTTGATCTTAGGGTGGGAAGTTTGAGCCCCACACTGGGTGTCGAGTTAAAAACAAACAAATAAACAAACAATTCTCTCTAGGGCTGTCAACCATATGGTGAGCTGGTCTGTGTCACAGGTTTCCAAACTATGCTTGGTCTAGAACACCCTGGTATTTGACCTTAGTCTTTCATTGCTGTGGAGCTACTTTATACCTTGGCAAGTTATAGATGAATGATAGCAATGCAAAATAATTACTATCTATGGACATGAATAAAATTATGTCCTGTAGAGGTTCAACTCACTTTCCTTGCATACTCTGTAGAAGCCAAATTTACTTCTGGTTGCATATTCATATCAATAATCCTGATCTATATAAATGTGTCCATTCTTTGGATTCTCTACTGAACTGGTTGTAACATGTTACTGACTCCCTCATTAATAATGAGTTAAATAAAATCTTTGACATAGGTTCATCTTTTTTTTGTACTAGTCAGAACGTTACCTGTTGTGTTGTTGTTTTTGAAAATTATTGTATAAAAGGGAAAAGGCAGTAACTTTACTGAGGAAAAGGATGATAGATACACACGGCTGTCATCAAGTGATCAAAGTCAACATTACCAATCAGAAGACAAACATCTACGTCTACAGGGGCGCCTGGGTGGCTCAGTCGGCTAAGCGACCAACCTCAGCTCAGGTCATGATCTCACAGTTCGTGGGTTTGGGCCCCGCGTCAGGCTCTGTGTTGACAGCTCAGAGCCTGGAGCCTGCTTCGGATTCTGTGTCTCCCACTCTGTCTGATCCTCCTCTGTTCATGCTCTGTGTCTCTCTCAAAAATTAACAAACATCAAAAAAAATTTTTTTTGAAAAGTGATAAAACATCTATGGCTACAAAGAGCATGCAGTAAAACCAGTTATGTGCTCTTGCTGCCTAAGATGCATAACCTGTTTCTCATCATGAGGAAGCCTCCGAAAAACCCAAACTGAAGTATATTCTATAAAGTAACTATTCTGAACTCTCTTTTTTTAATCCTAAACTCTTCAAAACTGTCAAGGTCATAAAAGGCTGAGCTGCTGTTTCAGATTAAAGTGGACTGAAGAAATATGACAATGACACGTAAGATGTGATCCTGTATCAGATATAGGACCACACAAAAAAGCTTTTCTTTTATTATTAAGAGGCATTCGTGGGACATTTGGTGAAACATGAATAATGTCTGCAAATAACAGTGCTTTATCAATGTTAATTTCTTGATTTGTTAATTATACTAAAAAGTATTGAGATGTTTCATGTCTGTAGCTTCCTCTTAAACATTTCTTTTTCTAAAAAAAGATTTTATTTTTTAAGTAATCTCTACACCCAACACGGGGCTCCAATTCGCACATCTGAGATACAGTCATATGCTCTACTGACTGAGCCAGCCAGGTGCCCCTCAAATATTTGAGGAAAAAATAAATATAAGACAAAGAGAAGAAAAACAGATGTGATAAAATAGTAACATTTGGAGAATGTGACTAAAGAGACGGTGGTATGGTATACAGTAAGTTTACAGTACCATGTTGTAACTTTTCTAGGAGTATGAAATTATTTTGAAATAAAACTTAAAAAATTTTTTTTATGTTTATTTATTTTTGAGAGACAGAGCATGAGCAGGGGAAGGACAGAGAGAGAAGGAGACACAGAGTCCGAAGCAGGCTCTAGGCTCTGAGCTGTCAGCACAGAACCTAATGTGGGGCTCGAATCCACGAACTATGAGATCATGACCTGAGCGGAAGTCGTCTGCCCAAGCAACTTAACCACCCAGGCATCCCTAAAACACTTTTTTAAAAGGGCATATTACATACAAATTTAATACAGTCTTACGTCTCAGGTAAGTACAACAATTCCGAACAATGTCTCCCAAAAGTTTTTTTTCCCCCTAAAAGACAGTGATATTTATTTCTTTGAATTACAATATAATCTAAATCACTGGAATTATAAATCATGTAACTGTTCATGATTCAAAGGCAAGACACAGCCAAGACCTACATGTATAACAGTCTCTGATAAATATAAAAATACAATTTTATAAATATAAAAAAATATAGTAACATATCTTGTTAAAGGACAATAGCTTTTAGTTCCTTAGAGGAGTAAGCCTGAAACTCCATAAGTGAAGCCCCTGGTCATATAACCAGCTCAGAGAGGATGTTGCCCACTGTCAAACATCTGTAGGACAGTTGGGGTATTTCTGCAAAGCACTCATAATTTGAGTATTATCCAAAAGTAGTTTCATCAGCTGGTACTCTCTCTGTGTATTTACTCAAGTTCTTTCCATGGGCCTTATTAATTCTACTTGTTGTAAATGTTCAAAAGCCTTCATGACAACAGGTTCTAGGGAACATTCATTCCAGAGGACCTAATCAGAAGATAGACCAATTGGGGTTGGGGAGACAGCAACAGTACCTTCCTGCATGTTCTTCTGTTCTGAGGATAAGTGGAAACTGAGAGGCCTCTCCTTGTCTGACAGCCTCCTCAGAAAACACACCCACTTCTCTTGTTGGCCACAAACAAAAAATTTAGTGTTCAGTTACTTCCTCTGCTAAAAGCCAAGCCTCCACACCATCCACATATCTCCTGCTCCCCCCACCTGCTCCTGTGTGTTACCAGTAGTATCTGCATATGGACCACAACTCAAGACTTCTGTAATTCTCAAGCCTACCTGTGAGGAAGGCTTATCTGCAGGCCACACTCCCATTTCTCAAGCAGACTCAAATAAAATAAAGATATGAAAATGTGTGGCGAGCCACCCTGGCTTAGATCACAGAACAGGGATCAGCAGCAGGAAAGCTTCAGGAAACACTGAAGATAAATTACACTCAGTGATTATAAAAATTACCTTGAGGAATGGAATCACAAAAGGACGAAGAGGAAAGTTTGTAGCCTCTTGGAGCTTGCAATGGAATTCTTCAATTGTTACTGTTGAGTTCTGGAAAGATAAATAACATTATCAATTCTAAAAGTGGATGTTGTCCCCCTAATACAAATCTAATAGTGCTAACCCTTTTTAGGTCAAGGAAAAGGAAAATCCCAAGAACACCAATGTAAACTCAAATCCCTCTTATTATTATTTTTTTTTAATATTTTTTATTTATTTCTAGGAGAGAGAGAGGGACAGCGTGAGCAGGAGAGGGTCAGAGAGAGAGGGAGTCACAGACTGAAACAGGCTACAGGCTCTGAGCTGGCAGTCAGCACAGAGCCCGATGCAGGGCTCGAACCCACGAACCGTGAGATCATGACCTAAGCGAAAGTCAGATGCTTAACCAACTAAGCCACCCAGGCGCCCCTCAAATCCCTCTTAAAGGTTAAATAAATCCTGTTTCCTTTATGAAAGAAATTTGGCCTCATGAATTTTCTTTTCTTTAATACCCTAAATCTAAATTCTCCTCTGTATTCAGCAGCTACTGCTTTCCTCAGTACTTATAAAGAGAGGCACTCAGGTTCCTTGTATTAAGGAGTTTATGACAATTCACCTCGGGTACCAGAAACCAAGCCTACAATGTTCCCAGATGGAATAATCTTGACTGAGTCCAGGATATCAACTTCTGAAGTTCACTTCTTCATAGATCCTGGCCTCCTTCTACCATCAGTTCCCTAAATCTTCTAAAAAAGACAAACCAAAAATCCAAGGCAGAACAGCAGGTGCCTTCTACCTTCCGTGGTCGGCTTGTGTATTACATTGCCTGGAAACAGGCACACTCCCACTGCTGAGACTGTAGTATTTCCAGTATGGTTATTAGCACTTCCCATGTATTTTTTCAAAAGTCTAGATTTAAATAGGATTCTCAGCTCTTCTGGTAAGGTGAACGTACAAATAAAAATATTTTCATCAAAGTTCACAAAATATTTTTATTCAATTCCCTAAAACACAGTATAATGACAAGCTAAAAAACAAAACGGGGCATTATTCTTGCTTCCCTGAGAGAACAAGTACTACTTGTAGAGATTTTATTTTATAAAATCATCAAGGGTTCAAAGCTGTAACAAGTACCATACAGATTATTTATCAACACAATACTGCTTCTTAGTAACAAGGAACAGAAAACATACAGGTCCACTACCATGACTGTATGGTACAGTCATACATCGGAACACTAAGGGAGGGGGAAAGACTATGTGCATTAATAAGGAAAGGTGTCTAAAAATATACTGTTAAATGAAAAATCAGAAAAACAGCAGTACGCTTTCATATAAGCTTTTTATGGAAATCACACACACACACACACACACACACACACCCATATATAGTATTTTAAGTGCCTAAAAAGACAATTACAACAGTGTTATTTCTGGATATGAAATTATGTTGGATTTTCTAAATATATCACATTAATATTCAGTAAAAATTAAAAATATTTCCTTTTATATCGAATTGAAGTTTATCTCATTTCACACCAAGATTTTTTTTTTTAAAGAATTGATTTTATTTTACTTTTTAAGTTTTTAAGAGTGTGAATGGGGAAGGGGCAGAGAGAGAGGGAGACAGAGGATCCCAGGGAGACTCCATGCTGTCAGCGCAGAGCCTGACGTGAGGCTCGCTCCCACAAACTGCGAGATCATAATCTGAGCTGAAACCACGAGTCAGACACTTAACTGACTGAGACACCCAGGCGCCTCATACCAAGATTCTTTTACAATTTAATTGAATCCTTGTTTTAAGTACTTAACATTTGTATAATGCCACCAAAGGCACTGGTAATCAGAATAAAAATGAGGTGTAAAAGAATATTCTTTCCCTACTGCAATCAATGCAATCAGGCCTCTAAAAGTAAACACAAATACATGGCAATGAGAAAGAATGAAATCTGGCCATGTGTAGCAACATAGATGGACCTTGAGGGTGTTATGCTTAGTGAAATTAGTCAGGCAGAGAAGGACAAATATCATATGTTTGCACGTATAGGAGGATAAGGAGGAACTTAACTGAGGAACAAGGGGGAGAAGAAGGGGGGAAATGGTGGGGGAAAGGGAGAGAGGCAAACCATGAGAGACTCTTGAATGCTGACAAAAACTGAGGACTGATGGATGTGGGGGGGGGGATGGGCATGGAGGAGGACACTTGTGGGGATGAGCACTGGGTGTTATGTGGAAACTAATTTGACAATAAACTATTTGTAAAAATAAATAAATAAAATAAAAGTAAACACAAATAGAGTAAATATATGCATAAATTGTATGAATGATTTTTAACTATTCTTGTAGATGGACAAAGAAGGGAAAGGATGAGATGCGTGGCCAGAGAAATAGTGACTTAGGCCAGAGAAAGTGACTCAGGACCGTATATACTGTTGCAGGGGAATCATCTGAGGAAGATGATAAACCACTGTTCTGTTATCTTGCCCTCTCCTTTGGTTATTTATTTTTTTTAATGTTTTATTTATTTGGGGAGGGGAGGGGTAGAGAGAGAGAGGGAGACAGAATGTGAAGCAGGCTCCAGATTCTGAGCTCTCAGCTCAGAACCTGACACAAGGCTTGAACTCAGAAACCTTGAGATCATGATCTGAGCTGAAGTCAGATGTTTAACTGACTGAGCCACCCATGCGCCCCCTCTTCAGTTATTTAAATAAGAGCATAGTTGTTTTTCCCTAAGTACTCATAGTGTAGCAGGAAAACTGACAAGCAAGCTACTCATTACACTATGATCAAGACACACACATGCAGGACACTACTGCCACAAAGAGAAGACATGCTTGAATCAGACTCAGGGGGACAAAGAAGGCTTTACAGAGGTGTTACCTGAAAAATTAAAAGGACAGTCTCAGGAAAGATGCTTCTGACAAAGAGAAGACTGCGAAAAGGTAAAATGTTAGGGGATCTGGTCTCTTACTGGAGGGGAACACCTACAGTGGTCTTAGAAAACAACAGGTACAGACAGGCTACCAGACTAAAATTTTTTCATCTTTTAAAATTCTGAGGGGATGGGGCGCCTGCATGGCTCAGCCAGTTTAACGTCTGACTTCGGCTCAGGTCATGATCTCATGGTTCGTGGGTTCCAGTCCTGCGTTGGGCTCTGTGTTGACAGCTAGCTCAGAGCCTGGAGCCCGCTTCAAATTCTGTGTCTCCCTCTCTCTCTGACCCTCCCCTGCTCACACTGTCTCTCTCTCTCTCTCTTTCTCTCAGTAATAAATAAAACATTTAAAAATAAATAAATAAAATTCTGAGAGGCGCCTGGATGGCTCAGTTGGTTAATAAGCGACTGACTTCGGCTCATGTCATGATCTTGCGGTTTGTGAGTTCGAGCCCTGCATCGGGCTCTGTGCTGACATCTCAGAGCCTGGAGCCTGCTTCGGATTCTGTGTCTGCCCCTCTCATGCCCTTGCTCTGTCAATAATAAATAAACTTTAAAAATTAAAAAAAAGTCTAAGTCCTTATTAAAAAAAACCAAAAATTTGAGATAAATATAATCATAGGATGTTGTAAAAACAGTATGACAGTATGGACAGGTTCCCATGTATCCTGCACCCAGGCTCTCCCATTGGCTACACTTTCTGTAACTGTAGTGCGATATACCAAGGACAGAACGAACACTGGTGAACTGTGAGCAGAGTATTCTGTGACTTCAGTGCGTGTGTATATTCCATGTAAGTCACTGCAGTCAAGATACAGAAGCACAGAAACGATATCTACCCTTTTGCGCTCTGGTTGATAATATAATTGTCTTAAATATTTCCTTAACGTACACAGATTGTCTGGTATATAGATCCCATATCAGACGATGTTACAACTTTTGCTTCAACTACCAAACAATTTAGAAAACTCAAGAGAAAGCAAGTCTATTGTATTGACTTTTATCTTTGCTCTTTCCATTTTTCTTCCATGTATGCTGATACTTCAAGATCCCTGCTTTTACCATTTTCTGCTTCAGGAACTTCTTTTAGCCACTCGCTTAGGAGAGGTCTGTTAGAGACAAATTCTCTTAGTTTCACTTCGTCTGAGAATATTTTGAACACTCCAGAAGGGCATTTTTGATATATGTAAGATTCTGGGTTGACAGTTCTTTTCTTTCAGTACTTGAAAAATGCCATGGTCAGTGGAATATTTCCATTATGGATAAGATATTTCTCTTTCAGTGCTCTCAAGATTTTTTGGCCTTTTTTGCAAGGGAGTATCTTGTTTGAGGCCTGCTTAGCTTTTTTAAATCTGTAAATTTAGGTCTTTTGTCAAACTTAGGAAAATTTAAGCCATTATTTCAGCTTCATGCTCTTTCTTCTGTCCTATTGTGATTTAGATCTTTTATTATATTCCCTTAGATCCCTGAGGTTCTGTTCATTTTTTAAGTCATTTTCTGTTGTTCAAAATAGATCATGTTTTCTGTTGTTCTGGCTTTAAGTTCACGGACTCCTCCTTCTGTTCTCTCCATTTTACTGTTGAGTCCATTGGTGTTTTCACTTTCATTATTATATTTTTCAGTTTTAAAATTTCCACGTAATCTCGAGAAACTTAACAGAAGACCATGGGGGAAGGGAAGGGGAAAATAAAGTCACAGAGAGGGAGGGAGGCAAACCACAAGAGATTCTTAAATACAGAGAAAAAACTGGGGCTGTACAGGGGGATGGGGGAGAGGAACAACAACAAAAATAAATAAAAATTTTTTTGCATTTGTTCATTTGTGTAGACAATTGTTCATTAAAGGATTTTATGACAGCTGCTTTAAAATCCTTGTCAGACAGGGACACCTGGATGGCTCAGTTTGTTGAGCATCTGACTTCAGTTCAGGTCACGATCTCACTGTCTGTGAGTTCAAGCCCCACATCGGGCTCTGTGCTCACAGCTCAGAGCCTAGAGCCAACTTCAGACTTTGTGTCTCCCCCTCTTTCAGCCCCTCTCTCACCCATGTTCTGTCTCTATCTCAAAAATGAATAAACATTTAAAAACATTTTTTAAAGCCTTGTTAGTTAATTTCAACATCTGTGTCAACTTAGCAATGTC